AAGTGTCTTTAGACAAAGCAGCTAAGGAATCCTTTTGTAACTTCTGTCCTGCCTGGCACAGAGCCTTTGCTCAACAAAATTAGCTATTATCATTGGCTATTATTCCTTGGCAGGTCACAAGGTAACCTGCATCCCTTCTCAAGTAGGAGAGACTCATCCAGGGATTAATAATAATTCAGAAACCATTTGCTGAGTGCCTTTTTTTTGTGCCAGATACTATTCTGGATGTGGCTCAAGCAGTCTCTCATTGAATATTCACCAAAAAAAGAAAAAAGAACTATGATTTTAGGTATTATTTTCCTCATTTTAAAGAGATGAACTAAGGATCACAGAACTTAAGTTATTTTCCCAAGATCGCTGGAGGAGTAAGTAAATGAGAGCAATGGAATTTGACACCAAGGTTGTCTGGACCGAAAGTCCGGGCTCTTTTCTCAGACTTGGAGGTTTTGTGTCAAGTCATGGAAATGGAGACAGCAATTACTTCACAAGGGCAGGCTCGGGGTGGAGGACTGACTGTAGAGAATTATGAGTACATTCAAGATTCGGGGATAGAGAGAGCAATCGCCAGGCCCTTAGCTACTTGTATCAAGGGCTTCCTGTGTTGCGGGCACTGTGCTAAGCACTTCACACAATGGTTTCCTAATCCATTTGCTATTGATGCTGTTGTGTTTGTTGTTAACCCTTTTTCATTTTAAGGATTTTTTAAAAATTATTACAACAAACCTATGTGGTTGGTACTAATATCCTAGTTTACAGAGAAGGAAACTGAGACACAGAGAAGGAAAATGATACACCCAAGGTCCCCCTAATGAGTAACTTGCTGAGACAGGACCTGATCTCAGATATGTCTGACTGTGGAGTTCACAGTCTTAACCACCATTGTCTTTGGACATGATCAAGAAATTGCCTAGCTTCCCATTTGTAGCTGGAGATGGCTAAATCATACAGGAACATGGGGCAGGGCAATAATGAGATGCGTCCTCTTATGAGATTGGCTATGACTCCCTGAACCACACTAACATCTGCGGATCTTTTATGAAGTCCCGTGTGATGGTCCCCAGGAATTCTGTTCTACCACTCAGGTTAAACGGATCTCAGTAGGTTGACCAGATATTCTCCCCCCACAACCCCCATGAAGAGTGGAGTCTATTTCTTTCCCACCTGAATCTGGGCTTGGTCATTAGACTACTTTGTCCAGTGGGACGTTATCAAACATGGTATGTGTTGGGACATGCTCTCTTGCTCCTCTCGGGGCCCTGAAACCACCATGTGAACAAGCCAGAGCGAGCCAGCTGGAGGATGACAGGTGATGTGGAGGAGAACCAAGGGGCCCAGGCTGATAAGGGGCTCACTGCCAGTCATGTGAGTGGGGCCATCCTAGATCATTCTGCAGACACAGGCGAGAACCCCTTAAATTTGGTGCCCAGGGCAAGTACCCCGCTTGACTCACCCTAGTTCTGGCCCCAAGAGACAAGTCCCCTTTTCTTATTCTGAGACGATATCTCAGGAGGCTGGGTATGTGGTTAGTATTCTTTTTTTTTTTTTTTAAAGATTTTATTTATTTATTTGAGACAGAGAGAATGAGAGACAGAGAGCATGAGAGGGAGGAGGGTCAGAGGGAGAAGCAGACTCCCTGCCGAGCAGGGAGCCCGATGCGGGACTCGATCCCGGGACTCCAGGATCATGACCTGAGCCGAAGGCAGTCGCTTAACCAACTGAGCCACCCAGGCGCCCCTGTGGGTAGTATTCTGAGTGCATTCATAGAATGTCATATGTAATGCTTATGGTGGTACTAGAGACTTGGTCTCTCTACAAGGTCCAAGAGAGAGCAGAATTGAGAGTTTCCAACCAGGGGAGACCAAGACCATGCCTACAGATGACCAGAAGTCAACAGCCAGAAACTCTGCCATATTTTGAGGTCCTCCATTGGCTGATGCCTATATATATATCGTCTATTCCCATTTGCATGGAATGGTTGGGTCAGTGATTGAAGTCACTGGGACAGAGCCTGGTTCATCAAGTTTCCTCAGGTAGCCTGATATGCTGTAATGTGGACCTATCTATAGAAGAACACCAACTACACAAAGTTCTACTAATGTCCAGACTATTCCCTGGCTCGGACTGGGCTTAGAATAGCAGATGGGTAGAGGATGGAGCCTAGCACATTCCCTTTGCATAGGTGGAGACTGTGCTTGCCTGCTCCATGAGCTCGCTGCACACCAGTTCCTCCAAGGTCACGCAGGAGGAGGGCATCCCTCCAGGACTGCAGGAGTCTCACCGGCAGCCAAAAGAGAGCCTGGCCAGGTTGGTGAGCAGGTGTGGCCAGATCTTTAATCACGTCTCCAGCCATGGACAGGAAAAGGTCAATGAACTGAGTCAAGCCAGTTGAGGAGTCTGGACCAGTTCATCCTCCTTGGTGCCAGCTGACCTTCTTGGAACTGTGTCCAGAGATAGAATCATTCCAAGTCGGCTGCCAAATCCTATGCATGCTGGCTGCAGGGAGTACCGCATGCCCTTCCCCACCCCTGAAGCAATGAATGGCTGGGCTTCTCCATTCATAGAGACAGGGGTCTCCTACCACTTATGGAGCCTACACATTCTTCGGAAGGCCTGCCAAATGGCAGGCAGAGGGCTCGTTAATTCTTCAGACTTACGTGGTAGCCATCTGTCCTAGCCACCTGCCCGGCATATATTCACTGTTATTCACTATCACTGCCATCATCATCCTCACATATATAGCTCTTGCCATGAACCAGATGCTTTTACAGATATGTATACACTGGACACTCTTAACAAGGTTATAAGATGGGGACTATGATTTTATCCATTTTTCAGCAGAGGGATCTAGGGACAAAGAGATTTAAGTACTTTGTTTTGCCCAAGGTCACACATATCTGAGCCTAGGAATGCTGGCTCCATCCATAGTCTATGGTTTTAACCAGTACACTTCTGCTTCTCCAGTTCTCTGAGGGACCATGGCTCCCTGACTCCTAAATCACGGGGTAGCCGCACGGGGGGAGGCACCTAACCAGACCTGGCCAATCAGCATAACCATCCTCTGTGTCTGAAGCCAGTCTATCCTCGGGCTTTTCAGCTTCGGGGACCAAAAGTTTCCCTTTTCACATAAACCAGTTTGAGGGGAGTTTCTGTCTCAGGCAACAGAAAAAGCCAACGAATATAGACCAGATGTAGGAAACGCCAGCCTCTTGGCTGCAGTGTGAGACTCAAGCCTCAGGCTGCAGGAAGCTTCAGAGCTCCATAATGGAGCCAGGCTGCCACCCCAAACTTCCCCGCCTGTTTTCCTGGGGACGAGAGAAGGAACTGCACTAAAAGTGCCAGGAACTGTGAGCTCAGAGAACATGGTGAACAGTCCCATCTTCATCTCTGCAGGCAAGTCTGGAAGGGCTTTCGTGGTTCTGGGCTACTTGGGGTCCTTAAACCCAAGTACCAGGTTCCAAGCAAAGGAACTGCCCTACAAGCTCCAGAGTGTTCGTGTTGCTGCGGTGACAGTTCTGCCCCTGATGTGTAGCGAAGTGGCAGATGACCACATACAGACGGCTGACAACAGTCCTCAAATGCAATGATAGAAGGCAGTCACCACTCACTTCTGGCAAGCTGTCCGCTGTCAGGTCTAAGTGGGTAAGGACAGGTCCAGTAATGAAGACCATGCCAATGGGGAAAATTCTAGGAAGGTGAACCAAAGCAGGAAAATAAGAGAACTAGAGGTGACAGATGCACATGGGGTCCGCTGAACACAACTCATCACTGGGCCAAGGGAGGAGTGTGCACGGTGGGAAGTCCTACCAGGGCACTTTCAGCAATGTGTTAAAGAATACCCCAAATGATGAGACTTTACTAAGAGGAGCTTCTTATCTCACAGATGCAGTATGGGCATAAGAGAACTCACAGCTGGCTCAGCAGCTCAACAGTGTCATCAATGACCCAGGTTCCTTCGACTCTTCCAATCTGTGATGCTCAGGATGCAAGTACATCTCCCTCATTAACCCAAAAGTGCTGCCACAACCCCATCCATTGCATCCTCACACAAAAACACCCAACAGGAAAAAGAAAGGGGTGTCTGCTTTTATCAGAAAGGAAAGTCTTTCCTGGAAGCTCTCCCCAGACTTCCCCCAAGGTCCCACTGAGCAGGACTGGGTCACATGATCGTTCACTAACTACAAGTTAGTGATGCAAGTATCAGGCATTTCCAGCGTGTAGCATGAGAGGCAGCCTCTGCCAGAAAGAAGAGAGTGAGGGCTAGGAATGGCTGTTGAGTAGAGGATCAACAATGTACTCCAAGCTTTGGACAAACTTAAACCAAAGCTTTTGCCATATCCTTATAGAGCCCATGGGGTCATTCACTTAATAGTTTCCTTAAGTCAACTTATCTTTCGTTTAACCTGAATATCTTTATTTAGGTAGGAAATTCTCTATCCCTACCATAAATTCAAAACCATTACTAGGTACATTTTTCCAATCCATATTAAAATAAGTTCATACTGATTAAAATAAAACTTATTTGCCTGTTTTACCCAGAAGGATCCCCCTTGCCCCACCAATAGTAGCCAGGCTTTGGGATGCATGGTAGCAGGATAAACCCATTTCCCTCCTGATTCTTGGACCCTGGTATCAAGAATTCCCTAACAAAGAGCTGTAAAGTACATCCTAAGGTACCATTATAACTATCTCTTTAGAGTTGCAGGAACAATTTAGCAGCTCACCAGCACTCTCCATGCCCCAGCCGTAAAGATGAAGGCGTTTAGCAAAACCATAGTAGGGGAACGAGTTGGCTTCGTATACCATCATGCCCCACTCCCAAAATGTTTTGTTTTGTCCTTCCTGTTAAAATGAAAAATGTCTCAGAGGCTGTAAGGACCACCCCATGTCTTGGAATAAGAACAGCCCACCTTTTTTTTTTTTTTTGTCTAAGCGCAGCCATATTTACCCGAAAGGACACACTGACTACGGGTGGATAGAGGGGACCAGTGCCCGTTACTTACATCGGAGGCTGGGCCTTTGTCGGCGCCTGGGCAGGAGAAGGTGACAAATTCATGGCACCGTTTGTGCACTACAAAACAGCAGACTGCAAAAGAGAAAACAAGGGTAGGAGGGAGGGAGGGAGGAAAGAAGGGAAGTGGAGAGGAGGCAGAGAGGGAAAAGGGGGGAAAGAGATCGTTAAGCCTGGGCTTCGCAGCAAGAAAGGTTCTATAGCAAAATGAACAATGGCTTCAGCTCCCCCACCTTGCCCTTTACTGAAACCAAACTGCTACTGCACCTGGCAAATCAGTTAAACTTCTAAAGGTAACTGGGGTTCAAAAGATCACAAATACTCAAAATCACACCACCCCCCAGAAGTTCCCTTCAGTTGTCAGGTCTTGAGCTGGTTTTGAAACACAACGTGGTTTCTTAGATCGGGCACCACATGACGTAGTCGGCTTGGGTTTAGGTCCAGAATGCACAAGGAGCACATACATTTAAACACTAGAATCACACTCGGAGAGACGTGCATAACACGAAGGGCCACGTAGAAAAACAGAGTGAGCAGGCGTGGCAGACCCGTGCCCCCATCTCACCCAAAAGCAATGCCAACTGAGTGCAAGAGTGGAGGAAAAACCTGCAATGTTTCCTTTGTTACTCTAGTAGTTTGCAACCGAATACACACATACATATATTTGAACTCCAGTGAGTTAAAGGCACCTATGATATGGCTCCCCCATCTAGGGATGCTACCGCTTAGGGGAAGGGGTGGTCAGAGACTGTATTAAACCTAACTTTTATAAACTCTAAACGGTGGGCTCCTGGAGGACATGCTCCACGCTGTAGGAACCAGCTCAGAATCTTTCCAAAGAGCATTCTCAGCGAATGAAAACAGGCCAGGAAAGTTCACGACTATCCCTAGCGAGACAAGGGACCTGGGCAACAATCAGCGGCTGCTAACATCACAAGAAGACTCGCTCTGCCTACCGATGAAAGTACCAGGAAGTACTCCACCACCTACGAGGTACTCTTGCTAAAATAATCAAACCTGAATCAGTTCAAGCCTTTTGATCTAACTACCAATTTACAGAAAATACAAGTGACAGAGGCATATGTTAAATGGCATCACAGGGAAGCAATGAGAAAAAAAGAATTTTTTTTTTTTTAATACACAGCAATGCTCCCTTCTCTGCTAACCCTCTCCCTCACACACATCTACTGCAAGACAAGTAGATCTGCACAATCCCCTCCCCCTTCCACAGGACCTGCTTTTATAGCCCCAGAGGCTGGGGAGTACGTATGTTCACACTCTCTCTCTCAAATAAATAAATAAAATCTTTAAAAAAAATAACTCAGGGGGCACTTAGGTGGCTTGGTTGGTTGGTTGGTTGGTTGAGCATCTGACTCTTGATCTCAGCTCAGGTCTTGATCTCAGGGTCATGAGGTTAAGCCCTGCATTGGGCTCCACACTGGGCATGGAGCCTACTTAAAAAAAAAAAAATTCAGTATGATAGGAAGGAGAAAGGGAGGGTTATAGATGGAATATAAATTAATCATGATTGATTACTACTTGAACCTGAGTGATGGACACATGAGGATTCATTATACCAAGCTATCTACCTTAATAGATGTTTGATATTTTTTGCAATACAAAATTTTTAAATTCCCATGGTTGGGAACCAAGAAGATGTCCAAAGAGGCTGATTTCTTTCTCCTTTGCTTACTCCCTTTTCTGTTTTAATAGCTACTGCATCTTATAAGTTATATATGCTTTGTATGAAGACATTTGTGTCAAATCTTGTACAGGTGTGTGTGTGTGTGTGTGTGTGTGTGTCCGCTCTGTGCCTATATGTTTATGAACCTTGAGAGAAATTTACGAACAGTGGTCAACAAAAGCCAGTGATGGTTATCTCTGGGCAGTAGGATTGCCCATGGTGTGAACCAGACCAATGACAGCTGGACAAATCCACCATGAGGATGACTCTGTGATCTGAAGTCTTCTTGAGCACCATCCCCAGCCTCATTCTTTTTTGTCTAACCACACCCTCAAATACATCATTGGAACATAATGTCCTTGATGTGCTCTGGAGATATGACTATGACACACAACTATCCTTGAGCATCTCTCCCAGGTGTATACCAACACGTATTCCCCAGCCTCTGGGGTTATAAAAGCAGGTCCTAGGGGTGGCGGGGGTGGGAGGGGGTGGAGATCTACTTGTGTTGCAGCCACCCAAGACCTTTAGTAAGTCCCCTTACTAAATCATTTCTTATCAAGCTGGACTTGGCCTTTTTCCTTGGTCCTTCAACCCCTTCAGCCTTTGGAGGTCATTTTGCACATAGCTCCCTTTCACAGAACACCCGTTATTTTCACTTTCAACCTTACGTTTTTCTACATTGTTCAGAATGTTTTCAATGAGTATATACTAGTTATATAATCAGGTGAAATAAGCCTACTTCCATTTTGAAACAAAATCAAGAGTCAAAGAAAAACACAGGTCAGGGGATGAAAAATATTACTGCCCAAACTGGAAACTCAGTGGTTGGGCTGATAACTGAATGGGCATGCCTAAAGAGGAACTTGGCAAACTGGAAGTTTAAATTGAGTGACTGTCCCAGAATTCCACAAAAAGGGTGAGAAGGAATCAAAGAAATGATGCAAAATCTGTATGATAAATCCAAAAATTTTAATACCCATCTAAAAGGACGTTCAAGAGAGAATGGCAAAGGTCTAATCAAAGAAAACAGAAAAAGAAAATTCCCTGAAGATTAAGAAAAGAAAGAAATTATCAAGCATCCATAGGTATGAAGGAAGAAAAGACTGAAGGGTGAGGGTATCTGAGATCATTCCAACATGTCCAGCAGGCGCAGGAAGAGCACAGAGATAAGATTACCAACAGCAGAACAAAAATAATTTTGACATCAGATTTCTCATCTGCAGTTCTGAATTCTACAATATGATAGAGCAGTAGCTTCAAAGGCTTAGGAAAAATTATTTCGACCTAAAACCTCATATAAAGCCAAACTGGTATTCCAGAGGGGGTCCAAAATAAAGGCATTTCCAGAATACAAGGACTTAGAAAATTTACTTCCCACAAAAGAAGTACTAGAGTTTATACACCCCACAAAACAATAACCAAAACAACTGAATGAAAAGAGGCAGAAGCAATAGTGGTGAAAGAAAGAACAAAAAACAGAGGGAGGGGCGCCCAGCTGGCTCAGTCAGTGGAGTGGCGACTCTGGATCTCTGGGTTGTGAGTTTGAGCCTCACCCTGGGTGTAGATATTACTTTAAAAATTAAAAATCTTGGGTGCCTGGGTGGCTCAGTCGTTAAGCGTCTGCCTTCAGCTCAGGTCATGGTCCCACGGTCCTGGGATCGAGCCCCGCATCAGGCTCTCTGCTCCGCGGGAAGCCTGCTTCTCCCTCTCCCACTCCCCCTGCTTGTGTTTCCTCTCTCGCTGTGTGTGTCTCTCTCTCTGTCAAATAAATAAATCTTTAAAAAAATAAAATAAAAATTAAAAATCTTGGGGCACCTGAGTGACTCAGTCATTAAGCGTCTGCCTTCAGCTCAGGTCATGATCCCAGGGTCCTGGGATCCAGCCCCGCATCGGGCTCCCTGCTACGCGGGAAGCCTGCTTCTCCCTCTCCCACTCCCCCTGCTTGTGTTCCCTCTCTCACTGTCTCTGTCAAATAAATAAATAAAATCTTTTTTAAAAAATTAAAAATCTTAGCGGACACGCGCGCGTGCACACACACACACACACACAAAGAGGGAGAGGAAAGGGGGAAGAATCTAAGTCATAAGAAATGGGGGGTGGGTGGGGCGCCTGGGTGGCTCAGTCGTTAAGCATCTGCCTTCGGCTCAGGTCATGATCCCAGGGTCCTGGGATCAAGCCCCACATCGGGCTCCCTGCTTCTCCCTCTCCCTCTGTCTACTACTCTGCCTACTTGTGCTCTCTCTCTGTCAAATAAATAAATAAAATCTTTAAAAAAAAAAAAAGAAAGAAATGGGGGTGGGAGAATGGCCATAACATGGAGATGTGCTAAGAGTCTTGTCTCATTCCTCAAAAGGTTATAGATATTGAGAAACCCCATGTAAGGCATTGTAAGTTTGAATATGTGTGTTTACAATTAAGAACAAAAGGGCGCCTAAGTGGCTCAGTCAGTTAAGTGTCCAACTCTTGATTTCAGCTCAGGTCATGATTCAGGGTCATGGGATCAAGCCCCACGTGAGGCTCCCCACTCAGTGGGGACTCTGCTCGAGATTCTCTCTCCTTCTCTCACTGCCCCTCCTCTCCCATTTACGCTCTCTCTCTAAAAAAAAAAAAAATACAAGAATAGAAATATTATGCACACTACTAAAAGAAAAAACTGGACAAAGAAAACTCAATCCAACTATACTTCAAAAGGCCCTCCCACATGCCCCAATTTCATATAAATATTATTCTTTTTTTTTTACTTGTCTACGTCATGACTTGCTCTTTAAATTCTTTAATCCATCTGTAATTTCTTGCCACCTGATGTGCATGGGAATCTACTTCGCCATTTTTTTCCTAATAGGTGATCAATTGTCCCAATATGTTTAATGGAATAACCCGCCCCTTCCCCACTGATTTCAAATGCCAACTTTATTATATGCTAAATAATTATATACACTAGGGTCTGTCTCTGGGCCTTCTGTTCTGTTTCACTGCTCTGTCTTGGAGTACAGCAATATGGGTTTTAATTATAGTCGCTTTAGAATATGTTATATCTTGGCAGGGCAAGTCCTCTCTCATTATCTTTACTTTCAACATTTTCTTGGCAATCACCGCATGTTTATTCTTCCAAGTGAACTTTAGAATCAGTTTACCAGGCTTTTAAAAATACCAAAGGAATTCTTATTGGAATTGCATTTAGTCAACCCCCCCACCCCCGCGTCAAAGAAACACTCACCGGAACTTTGACTGAAATTGTCTCAAACTTAGAAATTAAATTCCATACAGCTGCCACTTTTACGAGTCTTTCTATAAGGAATAGGGTGTCCCCTTATTAAAATCTGACTTCATGTCTCCCAGTGAAGTCTTCGATTTCTCTACACATTTCTCATTTAGTATTAGGGGAGGA